CGGGTGGGTGTAGAAAAGAAATTCACCATATATCTCAAGTGTGCTACTCCACCCATTACCTATTGGTTTTGGGTTGGATGCTCACTTGGGCTTGGTGGTGTGGGCTTGGGTCCGGTCAATTTGCTCATTATTTTTCCTACACTTTTTTATCATGTGGATGGCATCTTTCAGACAGAGAGGACAATGGTAGAGACAGAGAAATGATAATGCAAGAAACTGGATAATGGATAATGGATGACAACTGGTCACCAATGAAATGCCTTTTATGTTATGCTCTTTTCCAACCACTCATCTAAAAACTCGAGTAATTTATGAAGTGAAACTCAAATAATTGATGCATGTATCCCATATGTTGTAGTCACGTTTATACAGTCGTGCATACCAAATATGCCCTTCGCACGCAAGAATATTTAAAAGCACGCTGCCAAGTTAAGTGTAATCTTATTTCATTGCATCAAATTATTACAAGTCGCTGCTGCTATCGCAGACGAGGAAGCTAAAAGCTTGAACATATACAATTCAAAACTTTGAGCAATTATCTCATTAGATTACTGCAGATCATTTGCAATTTGGCAATGGTTCTCCACACAAGCATCTATTATGGAAATATGCAGTGTATTCGAACTCTTGCAACCTCCCACCTCGTGGAATTGGACCGCAGAGTCTATTATAACTCACATTGAAGCCCTGCAAACTTAGTTGAGTTAATCCTTGCGGAAGACTCCCCGTGACCCTATTATGGTTCAAGTCCAAGAATGTCAAGCTGTCTGGGAACACAACATTCGAGATATCAAACTGCAACATGTTCCTGTTCAAATCGAGAATCTGAATAGTCTTGTTCTTCCCAAACATGAATGATACGTCCCCTTGGAGCCTGTTTCTATATAACTCAATTAAAGTGAAGTTCAAATCACCCCAACTCCTCGGAATTGTCCCTGTTAACTGGTTGTGGGAGAGATAAAGATACTGAAGAGTCGGTGTCAAATTCCCGAATGACTCTGGTATACTTCCTGTGAGTTTGTTCCGATCTAAACGAATCCCACCAAGGCTTCTGAGTTGGGAAAGTGAAGAAGGGATTGAACCAGAAAAACTGTTGAAAGACAAATCAAGAAGTGTCAAGTTTTTAAGCTGGCTAAGAAACGAAGGGATAGGACCAGAAATATTAGTCCAGCTTATAGTAAGCGACTTGAGCTTAGTGAGTTTGAGAATGGATATAGGTATATTTCCGGTGAGATTAGTGATTTTATGGAAGGTTAATGATTCAAGATAAGGGAGGTCTCCAATTTCCGGCGGAATTTGTCCGGAGACATTGGCTGCGAAGAGGTGGAAATCATTGATCCGACTGGTTTCTCGGTCACACTCGACCACATACCATTGGCAACAATCTGTTTTTGGATCCCATGAGGCTAAATGGTAAGGGTTGTTAAAGGATTCTTTGATTTTCAGAAGGACTTCTTTGTCATGTGGATTGCATTTCTCAGTTTTAGAGAACGAAGAAAATGGTAGAGAGAGGAAAATGAGAAGGGAAATAATACAGAGAAACTGAAAAGCCATTAAGACCGTTGAAGATTGGATCAAGAGCACACTGCATATATAGAGGAGGAAGAAGTAAATTTTGACTTTTACTCCATTAAAAAGTAGTTATTAAAAATGTCTAAAAGCATGAAATGCGGATTCAAGTTTTTGACTGAAATGGATTATGGGTGACAACTGGGCAGTGTATGTGCATGTTAATATTTGTAGGACCACAACGATTACTATACATCATAAAGCATGTCAACGATTTATAAGTCCACGTGCCAATAATTCACATGCACAATTAGACCCACGATCCATCTCTTCTTCTGTGCTCTTTATTTGATACTCCAATTCGACCCCCACGAATTTATAAGGAAGGTTACTTGATACTCCAATGACTAAAATAATAGCAATTTGCATAAAAGAAACATAATCCACAATATACAGGAAAGAACCTAGTTTTAACTTTTAGCCCCCTGTTTGGTGAGCATTTTTTGGAAAAATAATGATTTCTTGAAAAATGTGTGAGAATTTTCTTTTTTTTGGTTCACGTGTAACATATTTTGTTATGTAAATGAGTGTAGAAAAAAAATTTTAAAATAATGGAAGACAAACATAAGCTTAATGTTGTCTAAACGCGATATCTTGAATGAACAATCAGTCGAGAAGAAAATCTCGTAGAACAAAGGGGAAATCTCAATCATCAGCTTCAACACACATGGAACTCCAGATCTTTCAGTCTTCCACCAAGGATCGTCGACCGAAAATTTTGCTAGGAAATATTGTAGTAGTTGCTTGAACGCAGAAGAATTCATTCGACCCTAACTAGACAATCAATCAATCATATTCAAGTGCAGAGAGACCAAAGATAAGAAGACATCGTCTCTTGATCTTGGTCTAAAACATCAAGCCAACATCATATCTAAACAAGGGTCAAAAAGAGCACAAGAAAGAAAGACCTCATAATGAAATAAAGAAGTTCACTAAAATAAAATACCACCCGACTACTAGTAAAATTGAAAGATAGAAATTGTCCAGAGCAATTTAAATTAAATGACAACTTGGGCGACTGGATATTACCAAGGATATGTCGCCACAGAACCGACTTTACATAAGAAATCCTAGCAAAACAAACTGCAAATCCACAAAATCTGCAAGTTCCAATAGAGATCCTACACATCCTACCAAGGACCAAAGTTCACCGTTTGGTGTAACAAAGAAACAAGATCCATTTATCAGCAGCTTCTGAAAGACGACTTGGACAGACAAATGCTCACAACATGCAATCTGTTCTAGCAGGTAACCTTCTGAAGAAATTGAGAGGCACGGAAGGAAGCTTGTGACGGAACCTAGGATGCCTCAAAACATAGAATCCTGCAAGAAGAGCCACCACTTGAAAAGGTGTGACATAGAGAACAATGGCAGCAACCAAACAGAAAATTACGAACAAAGCTGTAGCCCTTGGGTCCCTCCAGCTCAGCAGAGACTGTAGCCTTTCCCCTTGTGTTGCCAAATCGCCAACTACGGTTTGGATCTTCCCTGCAATGCTTCTCAAACGGTCGTACCTCATCCTCACAATATCTGGAGGACGTGTAGTAGGAAAAGTGTCAAACTCCTCGTCTAGTTCATCAGGATGAGCGTTATCAGCACAGGAGAGGCGAGTATCCATGTGGGGAGGATGCCTTGGCCTCCATCTGTAGTGCCAAACTCCAATTAAGAACAAGTAGAGGAAAATAGTGGGCAAAATGAGCTCGGGATATAAAACCAGTATTAAGAACAAAATGTGAATCAGAACGGTGGTAATGGGGTTCTTCCAGTTGCATATCTGATCAAACCATTTTCCAACAGCAATTAACCCACTCAGAACCCCCATGATTCTAAAAAAGTTTGCTTTGCTTCTCCTCATACTCCACATGTGAGAACCTACGTCCAGCATATACTCTACTATCTCCTTCCTCAAAGGCGGCTCAGCACGACTCAGCCTCATGGAAACAATCTGAGTGGCCTGGTGCCTCAAGCTGTCGAGCTGACTGACAGTTAATGGATGAATATAGTGCATTTTGGGTAACAATGGTTGCGAGTACATATGCATCATATTCAACAAGGACGAGCAATTAAATCTCACAGCCAAATGAATTTCACCCATCTTTTTTACCCCAGAAGGATGCAAAACTAGAAGGGGATATGAATGTGTATACACACGATCAGTTTCAAGGGTAGAAAGGCGAATCCTGACCTTTCCAATCCGTGAATCCCTCCCAGGTTTATCTCCACCTTGCAAATGACAATTATCAAATACACCAATGGTTATGACGGTGCATGGATCAGAAACTTCCCAAGTGTATTGTTCATTCCATTTGGGAGCAAAACTGTCAATGATGGTCCTCGTCCTGACCCACTTCTGCCCATATTTGGCAACGCAGTAAGCATCAGTAGTTGCTCGCCCATCTTTAGTCTTCATCGGTGACAACCCATGAGCACTCAAAATACCCAACTCTAGAACCCCAATGCTGGGCTTCCATAGCTGTTTTGCTGTTGGTCTAAGATCACTGCTGTAGTGAGTCGATTCATCCAAAACATGGTAACCACCCTCCAAGCATATTCTCATATGAATCCTACTGGCAAACTTGATTTCCTTCTTCTTTTCACCTTCAACAATGATATGCTTCTCAAGATTATACCACCTTGTATTCACAGGTTTATGATCCAGTCTCCTGTCTACATATGCAAGAGGAATGGCGCATCTTCCGAGGACTTCATCTTTGTTGGGTGCAACTCTGTCTTCTGCGCTCAAAATTAATGGCTCCTCAAATGGTTCTGCAGCAACAAACATCAAATCTTCATTCCACATAGGATTGATACTCTTGTTCATCGACACCCGAGTCCTCAAAGCCTGATTTCCCAGTATGGCCCTCACAAAAACTTCTGGATATCGACCTTTATCAGTCGGCTGCAAGTCCTGAGCTTCAATCACATTGACTCTCAGATACCACAGCTTAGGCGAGAGGTAAACCTTTGACCTGATATTTGCAAGACCATCAATGCCACTAACTGTCGCAGCGTCAGAATGCCATGCTTCAGGAAATGCTTCATCGGCTTGAGTACCCATCCAAACTGCCAACATCAGCTCTCCTTTAACCTTATCACCCTTCCTATCCTCTAACCTATACCACTGTGGGGCTAAGGGACTATCCGGGGGAACTCTTTTAGGAATCTCATTCAAGTCAAACAGAACCCGACCCATAAAATCGTCCTTCACAAAATCCTTATCTTTCACCGTAACCTCAAGCACAGAGGCTTGAATCCGTTCCTTCGAGAAAGCAAACACCTGATTCCATTCAGGGTTGGACTTCTTCTCAAAATGACGTGTTGTTCCTTTATAGTTACCAAGCTTAACCTCAACATAAGGGTCACAACTACCCGTCACATCCTTCCCCGGCAGATCTCTTGCCTTTACAACTCGAACATATAGGTACTGCATCTGCTCAACGAGGTCATAGGTGCTCGTGAGCTTATCTCCGGTGACCTTCCCCCCACCAAGGTGGGGGTTAGTCTCCTTGAGAGAATAATCTTCTTGTGGAGGTCTGTGCATTTCTTCACTTGTCTCTTTTTATCCACACGACACGATATCCGAACCAGGTTTAAGAAATACGACAGAGATTTCAAAACCCCTCAATAGATCTCAACAGATATAACCTGGAATATTCATAGACATTAAGAGAGTTAATGAGGCGGTGGACCAAGCTAAAACAGAGGAAAAAAATATAAGAAAAGTAAGTCTAAAACGTTCTCTCTCTGTTAAAAAATACAAGCTCATTAAGAAGAATATCGTAAATCCAAATTCTTCATATAAAAACTCAGATCTGAAACCTGAAACCCTCTAGAATGCAGCAAACATAGTGTACATTAAAGTGTAGAACTTATTCACATTACAAATACACATATGTTCGTAAATTCATAAACCCAACCAACCTCATTCTTCTTGAAAAATAATGACATACACATAAAGCCAAAAACAATAATAAACATATACAAAGAGGATTAGATCTTAGAATGGGAAGGAAAAAAAAAAAATACTCACATCAAAACTCAAAATACCGACAATGTATTTAAAACCCAAAACACAGTAAGATCAATCCATATGTTATTCATGTGCAATGACTTCATTTTAGACTACATATAGATACAGGTAGATACAGATAAAGCGTTGAATATACCTAGAGGGTTCATGGTAGCTGAGGCGATAAGGTTCTGTTACACATTGAAACAACTGAGGAATAAGAAAAAGATAATGGTTTTGTTCTTGTTGCGAATAAACAGTACCAGTAGTAGGTGCGTAAGTGGGTCTAGAGAGAGAGTGCTGAGTTTTTTCTTCTTTTTCCTTTTGTGTAGATAGAGAAAGTAAAAGAAAGAAGACGGTGGGGGGCTCTATGGGAGGATCAGGATCTGATGAATCTGCTTTGTGAATTCTTCGGTGGATGTAGTGTGTGAAATATCAGTGTATGTATAGGCGTATGTCTGTCCGTGCGTCGTTTCTACTTTAAGGAGAGGTACTGTTGTCTGGGTTAACTTATTTGACCAGAGCGCGCGCGTGCCAGGACTATGGTCGGGACATAGTGCTTGCCGTGAATTTCGGCCCAAAGCTTCTCTCTTTTCACTTTTGATTTTGTAAATTGCACATATCCGAGAAAATTTAGGTTGGAATTAGTTGCAAATTGTAGAAATTTTCACCTTGTTTGTTCACATTCTTCCACAATTTCATATTTTTTCAAAGAGTAATGCTAGGGATACATCACCATTCACACAAAGGTTCACATAATAACACGTGGCAGTTGATCCAACATTTAATTCAAATTTCATACTTACACATCAATAAGTGGATGACTGCCACATCTACATTATGAGAATCATTATGTCATAGGTAATGTACCTCTAGCATTTTTCTTTTTTTTTGTGTGTGTGGCCATTGTACAACAGGTTCCATTCACACAAAGGTTCACTTAATAACACGTGGCAGCTGATCCAACCCTTAATTC